GGGGGGGGGGGGGGTGCGCGCGGTCGGTCAGGTAGACGCGCGTGCGCGAGCACGTGATTGGGAGTCACGCCACAACGCTATCAGCCGTCGAAGCGAGCGCGTCGCGGAGCTGCCGTGTTATTTTCTAAAGTATTTCACGCCGATTTTAATACCGCATTTTAACTTCGCCACAATTAAGTCGATAATTAACATGAGTTGAGACGCGTACTTATCACGCGAGCAAGTGTTGCGGGCTTTACCGTAGCAGGTAATTACCGCGTTTCATTTACTTTTTTATTTGTTAGATAAAGAAACGTCACGATCGAGTTCCTTAATGTCGATCAAATATTATCATCATCTATTTATTATTCGAGTATTGTATTTCTTTATTCGGTTGTCATTTAACTACTTTTGTTACGTATTGGGAAGCAACTCGAGCGTGTCATTTTTTTCTTATCTCGTATTACTTCGTGTGTAATCAGAGTTGTAAAAATATCAATTAAATTTGCCTCAATTTAATAATTGATTTAAGTGAATAATTTCTAATTCAATTAATTGACTATTAATATAAGCCTATTAAATTAAAAATCTATATCGAATATTATAAGTTTGTCGATTAGACATTATTATCATTATTTATTAATTAATCGGTATTATTATTTCTTTATTCGGTTATCATTTAATTATTTTTTATTGCGCATTGGGAAGGAACTCGAACGTGCCGTTACGACAATTTCTTTTCCTCATCTTGCTGTCGTGTATAATTAATTAATATTAATTTATTAAATTACTAATTGATACTAACTTAAATTAAATTTCTGTTACAGAGATCTAATAGAGAAGACGTAGTCATGCGGCTTTAGAGGTTGTGATGCCTGGGAGATACCGCGCCGGAGGATTCGGCTCGGGCCTGTCTGAGTCGGCTTGAAGGTGAGCTTCATTAATTCGTATTCGTAATTAAAAATCCGACAAAACTAAACATTTTCTTACTTCGAATTGAGTTCCTGAATGCCTCCATTGTCATGTAACGAATTAATACTAAATTAAATTTGTTTTTTGTTACAGAAACGAACACTCGACTCTAAGGGGATGCTGCGCTGGAGGATCCGGCTCGGGCCTGGCAGAGTTGGCGCGAAGGTGAGTCTCACTTATTTGAATTCGTAATTAAAAATCTGATAAAACTGGAAATTCTCTTGTTTGGAATTAAGTTCTTTAATGCCTCTATTGTCGTATGTAATATTAAATTAAATCTGCTTTCTGTTGTAGAGACAAAAGCAGACGACCAGCCGACTCTTAGGGGCTGCTGCGCCGGAGGATCCGGCTCGGGCCAAGCAGGGTTAGCTCAAAGGTTAGTTTCCTTAATTAGCATTTCTCATTAGAAATCCAATAACATCGATAATTCTTTTGCTCGAAATCGAGATAATTTGAATTGAGTCAAAGATCGCGTTAAATCGTAATTATACGCGGGGAGAATTTTTCCTGAGTAACATCACCACTTGAAAAATGTTGATTAGTTTTGATTAAGAAATTTTTGTGAAACATCGAGAAAAAGAAAAATGGAATATTCTAAATGTGAATGCATTCCGAAAAACTCTCCCAGCGTGAAAAATATCGCGCACTTATTTTTTTTTAATATTTAAAACTTTTTTACTCAAACGACATCAATGCACGAATCTAATCAGCGAAACATTTTTCTGTTCCAGAAACGAAAGCAGAACATGGCTGCCCTGATCGGCGGATCGGTGAGTCAAATAAGAAAATTAATTGGTAATAGAAAGACAAAAAGTCTTTCCATGTAATAAATGCATGTTTATAAATTAATGCGATTTACTTTGCTGTAGTGTAGTGTATATATGTGCCGTCCAATAAAGCACATTGCTCGAAACATTTGAAAGATCGTTTTTACAAATAATAATATTAGTAATAATGCATTTTTACATAAATTTGGTAAATTTTCAAGTATTTTTCTCCCAATTGCCATTAAAGTGTCGAGTATACGCTTTGAATTCAAAATTTTGTAAAATTAATTTGTAATAATTTTGTAAATTATTCAGTTTTATTGAATGCGATCTTTTAAGTGTCTCGATCAATGCGCCAACGCGCAAAGATTGCGCTACAGAAAATGCGCAATCACATCACTCGCCTCGATAGATCTTCCGCCAGTCGTTAATTTTTTCAATTTTCTCTCTCGTGTGAACTTGTGTCGCGATTGCATTTCGTAAAGTATAGAGTTTGTCATTAAATAAAATTCGATATTTGTGCAGTCCCTGCGCGAAACGATCTAACATGATTACTTAAACTGCTCGCGAAATTAATTTCACGAATGTGAAATGTCGGGATAATTGTTGGAAAATTTTCAGGTTTCAATTTTTTATTTAGAATTTCCTAACGCGTGACAATAATGTTAGCGAGCGTTGATTCCTCGCGAAAAACGCGATATATACAAATGGTAGGCGAGCAGTTGTTTGTTTACTTACGCGGTGCGCGGCAAGTTCCATCGAACAAAACAGGTGTCTCACGCAATATTTTTTTACGTGAATTTTGAATAAAATATTTATTTCTTTCGTCGCAATTTTTATAGTTCTTGATTTTTCACTCACACTCGCGTTTCGATTATATGTTTTGATAAATTTGCGAATTTAACCGGTTCGTATTTGCGAAAGAGAGTCGAGAGTGAACTTAGAGTTCACTACTTGTGCTAGGCTAGCACAACTCAGATATGCAATTCTGAGTCGATCCAAAGTCTAGAAGTCGTGATTAATGACATAGACTGCGAGCGCGAAGGGCC